CCTTCAACTAGTAATTTTTCTACATATACGGACCTAGATGCATGTGATGACACTATAGTTATTGTTCGGTAATTTTTTCGCTTACTTAAGATGTTGGAGATCTTTCTATGTCAGTACAACACATGTACCCTATTCTATTTAATGGCTGCCTCCTAGTCCATAAAAGAGTTATCATATTTTACCTAACCATTCCCCTATAGACTGAGGTTTTTCTAACTCTTTGTAATTATAAACAATGATGCAATTAAACTTACACACATCAACTAGATATTTGTCACAAATATAGTCAATACTATAGTGGAGGCACATTCTAAAGGTAAGATTCCTTTAGAAGACGAAATATTAATTAAGGTAAATTTTCTACACTCCTAAAAAACACAAAGAAAAAATTACATAGAGTGACACAATGAGGAATTTCAATTATTTGTGTGTTTCTTAATTGTTTAAAATCTTTTTTCTATTTACAAAATGCTGGTTCAAGTGTCCCCTACTTTGTCGTAAATACATGTTGCCACTGGAAGGAGCTCCAAGACACTTCTCTCTTGCACATTTAACATTCTGGAACTTAAAGCACTGTTTAAACCCTGACACCTCTAATTATATACTCCCTCACAGTCTACCTATGTCATCATCTTTCCTCAGAAAAAGCATGCACTTCCTGCTCACAAACCTTCAAACATTCCCTCTCACCCCCTTCTCTCTGATCAATCACATCAGACCACAATTTTTCATCATCCTGACAAGCCAGCCGTTCTAGGCGCATTATGCTCTCACTCCTGTGTCCCTGAGCACCCCTACAGCGAAGTCCATCCATTTCAGGTCATTCATCCATTTCAGGTCCACTTTCATATGGGTCCTCCCACCTGCTGACCAATCCTATTAATCATTGCTCGTCTAACTTTCAAACTTCCCCAGATATTACTCTGAAGTCTAGAATCTAGACTACTCTCAAATCTCCATTTCTCTCTTCCCAGCTTCTTTCTCATTTTTCATAGATTCTCACTTTAGAGAACTGAAGTCTTTATCTTAACAGTAAAATAACCTATATACCCTCTTATCCTTCCTTATTAGCTCAAAACAGAGAAACATTCCACATACTACTCCCTGAACCAGCCTCTCCTATTTGTAACTCTTGATAAGTGATTCCTCAACTTTGTAAATACTTTGTTAATATCAAAGTATTTTAAGGATCCTACACAAAGGGGGTTGAATTTTTATTATCCAATGATCCAGAACAACTTTTATTCAATTTACAGATGATGCTTAAGGTATGAATCAACCAATGGACATCCTGTAACAACTTCACAGCTTACAGATCAGGAATCGCAGCTCTAGAACTCAACTTTTCACCTCTATCAGGCACCTCAGTTCCATGATACTCTCTACTTTGTTGGTATACTTGCCCTCCTCCTCAACACAAACTCAGGTCCTTCTGCCTTCATATATGCAAGTTGTCTAACAATTTCTTCATAGCCAAATGCAATTAACTTCTCTCTGCAGTACTAAACATGAATGACCTTTTTCTACATTTGCAGACTCTGCCCAAGGCAGTATACTACTTTGGAACTCTTCTGTCTCTAACCACTGTTTTTATGGCCGCTTTTCCTGGCACTTCTATTTCTTCTTTCAAACCCGCTGGCAGTAGTTCTCAATTTATTTCTAACTCTGTGTATTGTTGGGTAATGCTGGGTAATATATGCCATCAATGATATTTCTCACAGTGTACTAGTTCTCTACAAGCTAGCACTATTCCTCAACATAAAAGTCCTGCCTTATTATCAGAACATTCCTAACCTAATCGGTCTCTGGATTTCTATGCATTCCACTTGGTCTCTAACATGGCAACAAACAAGGATTGTGTATTATCACCCACACCTGTTGCATGTGTATTCGGTTTCTGCCAATCAGGAAGCAATTCACTGAAGGCAATTCCTTTGTTTTAGTCATCTGTCCAAAGGGCACAGTGCAAAGTATAAAGCCATCATTTCATTTTCTAGGTACCTGAAATGTACAGTCAAAAATTCCCAAATCACAGTAAGAGGACACTATTTTGCAGGATGCTAAATAGGGATGAGGTGAAAGAAAGGTTCCATAATTAAAGATCTAAGAAATACTGGGTTAAACAAAGTTAACAGAAGAGGTTTATCTGCAGAACTTCCTAGAACCTTTAATCTTGCTAATTGTGAATCTCCAAAAGCAGAATTTCCCAAACTTGTGTGTTATAAAACTCTTTCCCATCTTCTACTGCTCATTACCAGCACTTATGAACTTCTCCCTTTCCAGGGAACACAATTGAGGAAATGCTTATCAAGCAATTAATTATCTTCTTTCACAACTACTTTATATCCAGTATGATTTCTAAGAATATGTTAATCGTACTGGTTTTATGATTCATCCAAGCAGCCAGTCTCAGCATCCCTCAATTACCCCCAAAGTCATTAGACAATATAATTACAAAACTTTTTAAGGATTCATTTCAGGATACTTTTAAACTGCAAGCTGTCTTACTGCTTTTAAATATGACTTCATTTGCAAAAAATCCATTTATATACACCATCGATCAGAAGGGTATAAGCCCACATTTATTAAAAAAAAAAGCAAAATATGCTAAAAGGTGTGGGTAGCTTAAGTGACTTTTTTTTTTTAAAGATTTTATTTTTTTTCCCCCCAAAGCCCCAGTAGATAGTTGTATGTCATAGCTGCACATCCTTCTAGTTGCTGTACGTGGGACTCGGCCTCAGCATGGCCAGAGAAGTGGTGCCTCAGTGCGCGCCCGGGATCCGAACCCCGGGCACCAGCAGCGGAGCGCGCGCACTTAACCGCCAAGCCACGGGGCTGGCCCTAGCTTAAGTGACTTGACACCAGCTCACCAAAGCCAAACGTGAAACAGATAAAGGACAAACTTTATTCCAAAGAACCAAGAATAAGAAGAAGATAAAATAAATTTGAAAAATAGACATACTATTCTTCTCTGGAAGATTCACAACGTTTATTAGCACATTAAAGGTTCCAAGAAGTCCTCCAATAAAAAAAGCCAGTTCAACACTGTTTAACCTGTTGCTCCTCAAATTTACTTGACCATAGAATCTTTTTTTTTTCCTAATTAACATTTATTAACATCCCAATACAACCTGGCAAACATTATAACAGTTTCATCACTATATCCGATTGGAAAAAAGCATATCACAGAATTATTAGCCCTCATTCTTCTGCTTCAACATTTTGCAATGTTGCAACAAAATAATCTTTTAGAAAAACTTCAATAGGCATCAGGTAATCAGAAGGTAAACTTCTAACTTTTCCCATCTAATCCTATTCTCATTCAACTTCTCTGCCTCGAAACTTTCAATGATTAAGATGCGGGAGGAAAATAAAGACAAACTTGTCTTCTCAACAGTTAACTTTCAGAGTTTACATACGAAAGGAAATATATTCTGGACCCTACTCCTGGAACCATGCAAAACTCTGGTCTGGGTTAAAAACAGGACCTTACAAATGCCTCAAGTACCAATTCTTTATTTATTGGTTGTAACCTGTTTCCTCAGCAGTAAAAAACTGTGGAATGGGAATGAGTATGTGAAAACTCCCAATGTTTAGTCTCCACCCTAAAAGCCTCACCCTTATCATCGGTAGTCGCATACCTCACCACTCAGGAACAGTTAATTACCAAATGAAGCACGCTGGGGATTAACCAGTTTGCAAATTCACTACTTCACAGCTGCAAACTAAATTATGTGTTTTGCACAACTGCTCTACTAACTAGACATAGCACAAGTATTACTGATTCTAAAGTCAGCTCTGCTCTAATAATTTCAGCAAGCTATTTATAGGTGTTTCTGTTTTTGTGTTTTTTTTTAATCTACTCTAAATTTAAACCTGCTCCTCATTTTCAGAAGCTGAAATTAGCATAAAGTTAAATACAGGAAAAATATACACTAATGAGACAAGCCACTCCTGCTCAGTTCTTCTTGCAAAAGGCTAAAAGAATAAGTTTTCCAGACAGCTCTAATTCTATTACAATCATACTTCCCTGAAAAAAGTGTTCTTTCTTCCATGGGTAAGGTCAGTTGTAAATTTCAATAAGAACGGTAAGAATACAATTCTTTTTACTGACAATGACCAAGTTAATACCAATTTTAGAGCATATCAGTCATTTCAGATATAATTCTGACGACAATCCCTTTTAACCGACACTTTTAGGTAATATTAAAACGACTTAATCTCAAAACATGGAATAAAAGCTCCCAAACTTTACGTCTTAACTGTTCTAGGTAAAACATTTGTTAAACGTTAGACAAATATTGTTCTTAGGTTAAGTGTTTTAAATGAGTGTATATGCAAGTGAGAAATGATGTATGATCTACCGCCACGGTCACTTCCGGACTTCTCCCACCAGGGGTCAGGTCTAAGCCCATTCGCCAAGTTATTGATTAGCAATGGTTTCTGTTGAGACGGGGGTGGCAGGAAGTAAGATCATGTGTAATGCCATTGTCGTAGCTATAGCTATAGTTCTGTTTTCTATTGGGCATGCCCGAAAGAAAGCAACTAAAAATAAATATTTTAAAAAGGTAAATCCTAGAAGAATGCAAGATAAGTTCAAACAGACCTCACCTGATGTTCCACAGGTTGCCTCCCTCACCTGGTGGACTCTTGAAGACACTCCCCTCCACACCTCACTTCCCTCTATTCTTTTCCAATACAGACATTTCTCTTCCCTCTTGGTTCTCTCTCCACGCAAACCCGCCGCCTTGGGCTCCCCAGATCCCCTCTAGGGCCCGCTCTCCTCTCAGGTGCCCGCCTAGGTCCACTACACCCCCTCCGACTCGCAGAGGCCGGCCCCTGGCCCCAGCACCCGCAACCACTGCGGGACGCCCCCCACCCATCACCCAGACTTCGCACCCTCCACACTCCCGCTCCAGCCCCCGCCTCCGGCCTAGGCGGCGTCCTCAGCACATCCCAGCACCGCCTCGCAACACGCCCCCCGCCCGCGGCCCCCTTACCGCACATGATGCAGGAGGCGCGGTCAACAGGACGAGCGGCGAGCGGCTGGCGAGGTCGGGAGCGTACACACGAGCCCGTGGGCCGATCCGCGGACCTACGGGACAGGGAATAGCCGACACGACTCCCTCGGGGATGCGACAGCTGAAGCAACCACAGCCTTCTCGGCCTCCCGGGCTCGACAGCAACTGCCGCCGGGCCCCGCCCCTCGGCGCGCACCGCGCCGCCGCCGCCACCGCCCGCAGGTCCCATTGGGCGGTGGCCGCGCCGCTCACGCGCAGATCCCGCCTCCCCGCGCCGCCCCGCCCCAAGCCCACGCAAGCGCTGGCCTGCTGGCAGCGGAGACGTGGCACCGACTCGTGGCCGCATCCGCCTGAGGTTCCTGGAGCCGCCCTGGCACCCCGGCGCGCAGCGGGAGAGACCGCGCCGCGGCGGAGGAAGAAACTCGGGGGCTGGCAGGGAATGACGGAAGAATAAGGAAAGAGGAGGAGGGAATTGTTAGCAAAGCAAATAGCGTTGGGGGGCGCGCCTAGTGCAGTCCAGGGCCCCAGGCGTCGGTACCCCACGAAGCGGGGAAAGAGGAGGAGGAAAACAGGAGACCTAAAAAGGGGATCCTGGGGGACAAACAAACAACTCAGGGTGGAAAAGGGGCATAAGGCTGAAGAAAAATTGCACAAAGAATTGAGTGAGGTGAGGGGAAAGAGGTCCCAAAATTCTCACTGCAAAGTGCCATTCAGGTTCGGCCAGTCTTTCTGGTGACAGGCAATTTAGTTCCCGACTTAAGCTCTGTGTAATATGCTTGGCTTCTAAAAGCCCTCTGCACCCCATTCCCACCCCCATCCGTTGCCTCCCTAACCCTCAGTTTTTTGCAGAGGGGGAGGGGTGGGTTGTAAGGCTCAAGTATCCAACATCATGCGCCTGCCTTTGAGAAACTTGGCTGGCCCAGATTTCTGATGGCCCACCCGAGATGACCGTAGGAAGTGCCTAGATTTGACAGCCTGACGTTTGACTCATAAACGATTAATTCTATGAATTAATGCACCATGCCTGCCAAGAAAGACTTAATCAGAGAGAGATGATGTTTCTGAGAATTTATTACCTGGGCATTTGCTTTAGGAAGATTTAAATGGTATCTTTAGTCAAATGTAGATGTTTATCATAACTCTATTAATGGCTCTAAACTAGAATCAAAGCAAAACTTGCATGGCATACAGAAAACGGCATGAACTTCTGACCCCAGATGTCTGGTCTTACCTCACACTACTGCTCTCTTCCTACCTCACCTTCTAGCCCTTTACACTCCAACAATGCTAAACAGTTTCCCAGCTGGGCCAACATTCTCAAATCTTTTGCACACATTGGTTCCTCTTTATGGAATCCCCACCCCATCTCTCCTGAATTGCCACCTCTTGGGGAAAACCTATTTTGTCTCCCCAGACAGACTTAAGGATATGCATTAACCTCTCATTCTTTGATCTGGCCCTTTTAAACAATATGCTTCGATATTTTATGATGTTTTGTGTATTTTCCTACTAGGCTATAAGTTTCTTGAGGCTAGAACAAGTCTTTGCATACCAAACACCTAGTATAAACCCTAGCACAAAGTAAGGGATCAAAGATGTTTCGAATCAGTAAAAAAAAGCCATATGTTCTTAGGAGAATTGACTTTCTATGGCTGGTTATATAATCAAGTAAGCAAAGAGCTTTTCAGTTTTTCTTAGAGTGAAAAAAATGCCTTTTTATCACTGGCCTCAAAGGCCAGAAAGTGTCACATTTAACTAGTCAAAGTATTTCTCACCTGAAAGCCCTTTAATATTTCAGGCCTTTCAACAGGTCCCTAAATCACCCAGAGCAAAGTTAAAGAACAGTGAGCTGTTAACAGACAACACATTTCTTAATTCAAGAGGCAAAAGGCTCTGGGGATGTACATCTTAGCCTCATCTAAGAGGTTCTGGTAAGACCTCAGTGATATTGCCAAGGAGTCAAGGTATGATTCCAATGTTTGAACACCACCTTTGTGCAGTGTCAGCAAACCTGTCGATGCCACAAAGAGAATGCCAGCAGTACCACCCAAGTCCTCATGCTCAAAGTAATAATCTGTTGAACCCCTTGCTTTCTTCTGCTGCTTGTTACTCCACCATGACTATCAATTTGTCTTATCCATCTCCATTCTACAGCTATTTTGGAAGGGGCTTACACACAAGTTGAGAGGAAGAAAGTTTGAAGGCCAATATTTTCCCAACCCAACCATGAGCAACCTCACTAACCCACTGCAACAAAGAGCCCTTTGTAACCATGTGCCAGTCAAGACACTGATACAGAAGAACTTTGACCCCTATCTATAAGGAGATTTGCCTTAGCTGGACCTTTGGGAATAAGGGCTGGAGGAGAAAATAAATGATCTGTGAAGGACAGGGGACATCTAGGTCTACTTTAAACATCTGAGGAAATGGAAAGGATTTTCTCTCCTGATAAAAGTTCTGAACTAACTGAAAAAAAAAAAAAAAAGTAGTGATGGTAAGAGGATGTCATTCTTCATCACCTCTTTTGTAAGTCCATTTCCCTGTTCACAAAATCAGTCCTGTCAAATCTGATGGCTCTCAGCCCCCTCTTGGCCCTGCAGCCTGATGGAAGGCCATCAGGGCTTCCAGTTGCCATTTCTAAAGAAACGTAGAATCATAATTGAAATAGCTTTATCAGATTTTTCAGTGTCCCCACATTTGTGATTTTTTGTTATTGCTTATCTGAATTCCAAAAATAAATAGCAATAAAATTATTAAAATAAAAAAGGTCTGGGTACAAACTTCCACTTATAAATAAGTCCTAGGGATGTAATGTACAGGATGGTGGCTACAGTTAATAATACTGTATTGTATATTTGAAAGTTACTGAGAGTAGATCTTAAAAGTTTTCATCACAAGAAAAAAAATTTGTAACTGTGTAGTGATAGATGTTAACTAGACTTATTGTGGTGATCATTTTGCAATATATATGTCTATCAAGTCATTATGTTATACACCTGAAACTAATATATGTCAGTTATATCTCAATAAAAAAGACCTGTGCATAACAAGAAGGTGGGAGTGGGAGGAGTTGGTCCCACTTTTTAGGGAGTTTGTGGAGAAATGTACCACAGTGGACAGAGAAGATGGTGGCAAGTATCAAAGGAAAAAGAAGCAGGTGGAGCCAGTAAGGCCTCTGAGAAGAAAGAAATGAGCACAAGAACAAAAGGCACCAGTCAAGGCCTCAGAAAGACTCCTTAAATGAATCCCTTTGCTTCCACCACTACCCCAATTCATCCTATACACCTTCACACCAGAGTGACCTTTCAAAAACATAAATCTGATCCTGTTTCTCCCTGCTTCCAATTCAGTGAGTACCCTTTACCTGCAGGATTAAGTCCAGACTCCTATGCACACACACGGTTATTCAGGAACTCATTCCTGCCAGTTTTATCAGCATCATCACCCACCACTCTATTCAAGTATCTTATGGGCTAGCTATACTGAACTACTGCCAGTTCCCTAAAAAAGAATGCCATCTCAAACTTTTGCATCTTTGCATTTGCCTCTTTTTGAAAGGAAACATTAAAAAGGGAACCAGTTGTTAAATAATCAGGTCTTGACTATAGAGTACTAGATAGTCACTCACAAAATGGGATTATAAGGGGACCCTCGTCCAAAATTACCTCTACACCTTACCTATCACCTTGCCTAAACTTCACCTGTATGCATGTATTTAATGCAGAGCACATCCCTCTCCCCAGGAGACCTACATTAAGTCATTATCACCTATTAACAATTTAGAATGAAACTATTTATAGGATTACTTTTCATTTGGATACCAAGTGTGAAAAGGTCACTGAGGAAATGCAAGTTTAATGGGGCTAAAGATAATTCTGAAATCAAAAGCAAGGCAGACCTGGACAGATTACTTTGGTTGATGACACTGGGCAAGAAACGGAAAATATAAGGGCATGTGGAATTGAGTATTGGGAGGGAGAGGGGGTCAAGATATGGAAAAAGGAATCAGAAATAAGTTGGTGATGAAAGCAAACTTTACCCACTGTAATGGTTAATTTTATGTGTCAAATTGGCTGAGCCACAGATATTTGGTCAAACATTATTCTAGAAGTTTCTGTGACAGTGCTTTTGGATGAGATTAACATTTACAACGGTGGGCTTTGAGTAAAGCACATTGCCTTCCATAATGCGGGTGGGCCTCATTCAATCAGCTGAAGGCCTAAAAAGAACAAAAGACTGACCTCCCCAGAGCAAGAATGAATTTGCCAGTAGAACGGGACTTGGACCACAACACCAGCTCTTCCCTGTGTCTGCAACCTGACAGCCCACCCAACAGATTTTGGACTCACCAGCCTCCATGACTGCATGAGCCAATTGCTCAAAATAGATCTCAATCTCAATCTCTCTCTCTCTCTCTCTCTCTCTCCTATTATACACACACACACACACACGTATGTATACATATATACACACGCATATACACATATGTATACATACACATATATATGCACACATATATACACATATGTATACACATATATACGTATGTATGTACACACGTATATATGTGTATACATAGATATATATACTATTAGTTTTGTTTCTCTGAAGAACACTAATACATCCACCTAATGTTGATTTTATTGATTTCCTCAATGTTGAATATATGTATTTGTTTTAAATTTCTAGAGGATAGAGCTTTCAATTACAAGTAATAGAAATCCACTCAAACTAGCTGAAGAAGGGGAGTTATTGGCTAATGTAATTGGAAAAGACAGGGATCCAAACAGCTTCAGGCATGTCTATATCCAGGGACACAAACAATGTTGTCATAACTCTGATTCTCTGACCTCATGGACAAGGAAATGACCTTCAAACAGCTCTACAATGACATGTTTACAGCTCACAGTCCAAGAGGACAGAGGCTTTTCCTCCACCCTCACGTTTTCTATTCTAGGCACTGATTCTGACGGGTCCAGTGTGAGTCATATGCCCCCCTCCTGTGGCAAAGAGGGCAGGACACTGTGATTGGACAGTTCCACCACATACAGTAAGCAAAAGACAGCAGTTCTTCAAAGAAAGAGGAAGGTGTTGCTAAAAGAATGAAGAAGGGACACCAAAAGATGTCCACTACATCAGGTAAACATGACCTTGATTGCCCCACCAAGAAACCTCAGGCTTGAGAACAGACGATGCTGACTCCAACTGGAATTAACACTCTCCAATACGCCTCCCCTAAGTGGCTCCAAATTTTCCCAGTAGCAGAACCTGGGGCAGACTTTTCTAGCTCGGATTGAAAGAAACTCATTCTACTGCCAACAAATTGTCAACAAACTGGAAACCATGAGATTAACTGGTCGTATCCACTACTTCTGTCCCATAGGGTATGACTGGAGCTAGAATAGAGGTGGACTGTTCACGGAGCTGCCTAGAGCTGAAAGATCACTAGAAATGTAAGGTGACAGAAAAAATACTACTTTCTAGAGTTTCTTTCAGGGAATACAGAAGTCATGTCTACATAGCCTGCAAGCACCCTGTGGAGTCATCATAGATAACTCTGTTGTGGGGAAATGGGGTATAAGGCTGAGGTTTCTCAAAGGGAGGTAAATTTCCACTGGACTAGAGACCAGCTAGCTTTATATTGCTGCATAAAAAATGGACACACATGCACTGCTTTGGCCCATGATAGTCTGGAGCAAGCAAAAGATGGAAAAGATTTTTGCCCACTAGAAAGTAGCACCTATGAAGACAAAGAATGCTTCTCTCCTTCCTCAGGTAGGAATACTCAGGAGCGGTATGTGGGTCCAATTCCCTTAATGCAAAATAGTATAGTAGCAATGTGCATAGGGTCTGCAACCAGAATGCCAGGGCTCATGTCCCTGGCTTTTCCACTTAAGTTGTATGGCAACAGAATATGTACTTCTCCTCCCTGTGCCTCATGGGGACAATAATAGTTACCGTTCTCATAGGATTAAATGACTTCATAAATATAAGGTGCTTAGAATAGTGTTTGTTACATAGTGAATGCTCAACGAAAGTTTCCTATTTTTATGTATTTTGCTCTTTATCATTCTGTGTAGGGCTTCATCCTAATTTTGGTTAGTAAAAAATCCTCCAAGTGCTTGGTTTACTCTTGGCCAATAATCTTAGTTTCAATACCGAATGAAACATCCTTTATTTATAAAGTGTTTTGAATACTTCATGTAAAAAGATCTTAGACATTTTGGGTGGCTAATTGAATGATTACTTTCTTTCTTTGGGACTATCTCCGAGGAATTTAAGTATAATTTAAATATTCAAGCGGCAGGCCTGGTGGCATAGCGGTTAAGTTCACGTGCTCCGCTTCAGTGGCCTGGGGTTTGCAGGTTCGGATCCCGGGCATGGACCTACGCACCACTTGTCAAGCCATGCTGTGGCGGCATCCCATATAAAGTAGAGGAAGATGGGCACGGATGTTAGCTCAGAACCAAGCTTCCTCAGTAGAAAGAGGAGGATTGGCAATAGGTGTTAGCTCAGGGCTAATCTTCCTCACAAAAAATAAAAAATATATATGCAAAAATGAAAACTACTACCTGATTAAACTACACCTTCTAAATTAATCTTTGATTGAAAAAGTGGCTCAATTAATTAAAAATGTTAATTTGTTTTCATTTTAAGATTGACATTTGGCACTGCCATAAATTTAAAAAGCAGTAAAATTATTTACCAAGTCCTCCATGATTTACCAGGCTGTCTGTTAGAAGGCAATAAGCTTCAAGTGACAGAATACCCAACAACAGTAGTTATTAACAAGAAAACCTTTTATCTCACAAGATACTTTGAAAATGGATGGTTCCTCGGCTGGCTCAAAGATCAATAATGTCCTCAAGGATCCAGGACCTTTTTTTCCTTCCTCTTGGCCATTCTTGGTGGACTGGCTTTTCAGGATTACAAGTTGACTGGCACAACCTTGGACATCGAGTCTTCATACTACAGTTTACCAAGCAGGAAGAAAAGGAATGAATAGAACAAGAGCCTTAATTGATTGATTAACATTCTCTTTCTCTCCCTCTATCAGGGAAGAAAATTTTTCCCGAACTCGTCAATAGACTCTTACAGCTCATTGGCCAGAGCTCGGTCATATGTCCACACCTAGACTAATGATTGGCAAAGAGAAAAGGAGTTGAAATGACTGATTTAGACTAGTTATAATTTATCCCCTGGGATTGAGATGGGACCTACTTCCCTGGGCATATTGCAACCAAATGATAACAGAGAGGTCCTCTCTCAGTAATAAGCAGGGGTGTAAGCTGGGAGTTTCTGCAGCACTCTCCACACTGCCCACTGCCTACTTCTGCATCATTTCCAGCTAAGCACTTCCACTTCACACTCAAGCCATACTTAGCTTCTTGCAGTTCCCAAATATACTTCATGGTTTCCAGATTCTGATTACATTGCTCTGTATGCCTAGAATATTCTTCCCCACCTTTCATCATTCTTCATGGCTGCTCCCTTTCATAGAAAATCTTTCCAATACCTTGGCCTCACAGTTCTATGATTTCCTTTCTTCCAATAATCTAATCCACCACCCACCTCAGTCACTTATTTAATGGCCATACCCAAGACTTGCCATTAACTGCATCTACTCCACAATCTCAATTCCTGTAGCTTCAGCTAAAAGATGAGTTAATGTGCCTAGCTTATAAAGCCATACCCAGAGTCTAACCTGAATTCATCTATAATAGCTCAGGGAACAAATTTTCCAACCCCACTGTCTGGTTCTATGAACCAAAAGAAGAAAATAAAAACTTCAATTCCCTGCATTCACAACTGCTAGAGTTCTTCCGGTTTCCATCCCTAACTTAATCTCTGTACTTTTGGGGACCAGAATTCCAGAGATGCAATGTACTTATCTTTCCTTTGCTAATATTGTCTGTAAATCGTTGTCTCTGAATTACCACAGAAAAATGAGAGAGGATAACATGCTATTTGGGCTATCTGAAAAAGCAGTACCCCCTAGTAGAAAGATAACTGTCCAAATTTCTGGCATGGCACAGATTATAGATCTCTGAATCAGAAGAAGCCAGTAGAAGAAGGACCAAAGTACTTTCTCATCTTTTTTTCAGAGAGGTTCTGCTTCATAAGGTAAAGCCTGAGCATGCTAAGCCAGTTTTTCTCAATTCACCCTGCTCTATCTTATAGTCGATGGAAATTCTGTCTACATTCTGGAACTTGGTTCTTTATCAGTTTTCAGCATTATGATTTTTCTTTTCTTGGTCTTTTAGTGAGAAGTTATGTGCTACTACGTTGGGGGCTCCTAGCCAGATACCATTTTTAAACCAGAATTGTTTAGTTGTTTCTTTTTAAACAAGGTAAAAATTCAGTAAAAACAGTTTCAAACATCTCACAAAAAGCTAAGCCATTTTAGAATATTTTAAAAAGAATTCTCCCTATTAACTTCTGCATTTAAAAGTAAATAAATTAGATGGAGGAAAATGTATTTTAACCTGCTTCACACATTATGCAAAGAGGGAACCATGAGATATGAAGAACAAAAATAAAAATATCCCTGGATAAAATCCACGTGTACACAAGATGACTCAGGATGTTATAAATAACTCATATGAGGTAAAGCAAAATGCAATATTTATGTATCATTCTCTGAACAAAGAGCATATTTTATTAATCCTCAAGTTCCTTAGCAGATTAATAATAAAAGCTTGGTATATATTATCAACAAGTCCAATTGCTGGGCCCAAAGAAAACTCAAATTATTTTAAGGTGAGTCTACTTCTTTTCCATCTGATTCATCATCCATAACCTAAAAACAAAAAACAAAGAGAATTTAAGAATTAAGAAAAGGATTAGAAATTGCTATTTCCTGATTTTAATATTACTTGCTTACCTGAAATACTCTACTCTATAACAATGTATGTCAATCCAATAAGAATAAATCTATCAATAGCCCCCAAACCACGAAGTATGCATCATAACTTGGTATCCTAACAACATAAAAACAAGGGGAATATTAGCAAATTAATTAAAGCACTGGTCTCTTCCTTGTCCCAAAAGAGGTTTCCAATGGCAGAGTCTCAGCTAGACAGAGAAGACTATAATGATTAACTGGTATTTCCTAGCCATAAGACTAATATAATTGACTTTTCTTGTTTTTTTAAAAAGCATCTTATTTACTTAAATATATTCTGGGGGGCTATACCAAACTGTTATTGTAAAATTATATATTAGAAAAGTGAATCTCTAAAAAAAGAAACAAAATATCATACTAGCAACTAACTATTGTAGTCCTACTCAGATAAAAATTCATTTTAAACCTTAGAAAAACAGGAAGACTTTCATTTCTAATAAGTGAAGAAAAATACTATCTTTTCATGAGTTAATATATTTACTCAGATAATAAAGATCAACGCCTTCAGAGAAGAAAAGAGCTATATAAGCCTAAGAATTTTTTTTCTCTTCACCACACCTACTACAATTAAATGCTAATTCAAGTTTATAATCTGACTGCCAATTTATCACCCCACCCTGGACAAGTGAATAAAAATACTCCTTTGTCAATCTACCAAAGAGTCAACTAACGTAATTTTTTTAAAAGGCATATAAAGGATAATGGAACAAAAATAAGTTTAAAAAAAAAATCTAAATGAACCTGGTTCTGATCTGAGACAATCAATGGAAAAATAATTCTCTCATAGTTTCTCTTTTGGATTGAGTAAAAATGGATATATTTACTTCCAAGGAATTGATATTTTATATTCAATCTCAGCAACACCCAATCCAAAGAATTTTGTCAATCAACTCCTATTTTAGGCAGACTATTCCTAAATTTGGAATATTTCCAAACACTTATTTAATACAAACTATGTATAGAACATGTATAACACATAGGGCTAAGTGGTGCAGAACACAAAGACCTAGATACGGTTACAGGCTTCTCAAGGAACTTACCCATAAACATAAGGCTGAAACAGACACACAGACAGAGGCTTTGGACCAAAGCAGAGCTCAATTCCAAGTGGAGGACTGATAAGGACTTCAAAGAGGAGATGGCATGTATTGTACCAAAAGGACAGATTTTAATACTACCCAGAAATGAGAAATTCTTAAAGGAGCTGAGAAGAGATGCCCTCTCCTTAAAGGCACAGAATTACCTAAAGAGTTTTTTCAAATTTCTAATTTCCACAAACTCTCCCTCCTTGAGAATCTCTCTCCATAAGGCCATGCCTCTTGGTTGAGAATCCCTGCAGTGAGGGTAACTATTACTGCTGAGAAGGTGCTTTGCTTTATTCCTTAGGTATCTTGGGGCAGAAAAATTTTGACATCAGGTGATAGGTAAAGCTCCATAACTCTACTCAGTACTGTTTTACTGTATAACAAAGAACGATTTCTCGATGAGCTTCTTGCCTGCATGTTTAAGAACAAGAAGTGGATAAATGTAAGAAAAAGAAGTGGATAAATAGTTGTAGTGGAGCTATTCTACTAAAGACTTCTAAATCTCATCTATAAAACTCCACGATGTTTTGAATCCCCTTTTCATAATTTTTCTACAACCAAAGCAGCAGTATGCCCTCCGAGTCTCAATTTCCTATATACAAAATGGAAAACTTAGTAACACTACTCGTAGTGCTACTACTTAATATGCTGTGTTGTTAGAAGATTAAATGAGGTAGTATTTTTTTAAAATGCCTGGCACATAGCAGGTATTCATAACACTAAAGTTAATTCTAAAATAAGGAGTCATCAAGTCTGATAACAATCACAACACAATCTTCCAGCCCTTGAAGAAAATGTCAGGTCATGAATTTCTTTTTTTTTCAAATATTTATTTTAATATTAAATCTGAACTGTCATACAATATTGGCATACCTGTTCTACGCCTTCTACTTCTGGAATATAAAATTGCAGCATGTTCTGAATTCCATTTTTCAGAGTAATGATTGAACTGGGGCAGCTGGTACAAGAACCTTGGAGTTTCAGCTGTACAATGCCATCTTCAAAGCCTTTATAGATTACATCTCCTCCATCTTCCTGCACAGTTGGCCTGTGATCACGGAATATTTGTGATATATTTAAAAGAACAGAAGTTTTTGTTGAAAAAATTTAATACAACTTAGAGCTTAGATTTTATATTGCTAAAATTCACAAAGTTAGAGCTATTTTTACAATAGAGAACAATTAACTGTGGCTAGTTGCATTTGTAATTTTCTTTTTACTTTCAGATAAAATGCCAAAATTCATTCATACAAATATTTGCTCTACTTATTACATCTTAATCTTGCTTATTAATAACCTTTTTCAGCATTTAAGATTTCAAATTTCTTTTTTTTTTTTTTTTTGCTGAGGAAGATTAGCCCTGAGCTAACATATGCTGCCAATGTTCCTCTTTTTCTATGTGAGCTGCCACCACAGCATGGCAACTGAGAGACGAGTAGCACAGGTCCACGCCTAGGAACCGAACCGAGGCTGCTGAAGCAGAACACACCAAACTTAACCACTAGGCCACTGGGCCAAGCCCAAGATTTCAAATTTCCTAATAATTATAGTGATTACCTAAGATATACTCATTCACTTCTTTTGGGTGAACAGAGGGAGACTGACACATGCTGGCTTCTTTTTTTCTCAGGTTAACTTTTCATTAAAATATACCATTATTACAGAAAAATCCATAAATCATGTATGATCAATTTGATGAATTTTCACAATGTGAACACACATTTGTCCCAGATCAAGGAACAGAACAGGTACCCCAGAAGTCCCTCTTGTGCTTCCTTCTGATTATTACTCCCAACCAAAGGTAACCATTATCGTAATTGCTACCACCATTGATTAGTTTTGCCTGTTTTTAACTTTATAATTTATAAATATAAATTCCATTTAGAAAAAATAGTATTTATTCTTTGGTATCTGGCTTCTTTTGCTCTTTGTGAGATTCATCCACATTGTTGCATGTAGTAATAGTTTATTGAATTTCATGCTGCATAGTATTCCATTAAGTGAATATGCCAGAATTTATCCATTCTATTGTTGATGGACATTTGGGTTAGTATGAGTCTTTGGCTTTTACAAATAGTGTAGCTGTGAAGATTCTTGCAAATGTCTTTTGGTATACATACACCTTACTACTGGGAATATACCTGAGAGTGGAATTGCTGGATCAAGAATATGTTCAGATTTAGTAGATATGGTACTGCCAAATAGTTTTCCAAAGTTATATAAACTTACATTCCCACCAGCAGTAAATGAGAGTTCTTATTGCTCCTCACCAACAATTGGTGTTGTCAGTCTTAATGATTTTAACCATTCTAATGGATTGGCAGTATATATTTCATTGCAGTTTTAATTTGAACATTTATAATGACTAATGAGGTTGAGCAATTTTTCATATTTAGTGGCCATTTGGTTATTGTCTTTTGTGAATTCCTGCTCCAGTGCTTTTATGAAGAGACTGCTCCAGTCTCTATTTGATTGTTTATCTTTTTCTTAATAATTTGTAGGTGTTTTAAAATATAATCTGTCATATATGTATTATAAATATCTGCTACTTTGTGCTTTTTTTTTTTGTTAAGGAAGATTCTCCCTGAGCTAACATCTGCTGCCAATCTTCCTCTTTTTGCTTGAGGAAGATTCACCCTGAGCTAACATCCGTTGCCAATCTTCCTCTATTTTGTATGTGGGTCACCACCATAGCATGGCCACTGACAAGTGCTGTAGGTCCGCACCTGGGAACTGAACCTGGGCCACTGAAGCGGAGCGCATTGAACTTAACCACTAGCCACCAGAGCTGGCCCTACTTTGTGCTTTGCTTCTTCCCTGTAACTGGTGTTTTTTGATGAAGAGGAAGTCATAATTTTATTGTAGTCCAATTTATATATATTTTCCTTGATTTTTCTTGTTTCCTGTTGAAAAAAATATTTGCCTACCCAAAGGTCATGCAGATATTCTATTTTAAATTTTCTTTGTGATTTCTTTGTTGGCCATGGATCTTTTTGAAGAATACTGTTTAGTTTCCAAATATATGAATATTTTTTAGTTACCTATTAGTAATTGACGTCTAGCTTAATCCCACTGTAGAAAACAATATTCTCAAGATTTCAATCCTTGAAATTTGTTCAGAGTTGCTTTATGATTCAGAATATGGTCTATTTTAGTAAATGTTCCATGTAAACTTGAAAAGAATAAATATTTTGTTCTTGTTGGGAGCAATGTTCTATACATATTAGTCAAGTTTGTTAATCATGTGTATAAAACTCCCACATCTTAACTCATCATTTTATTTACTTGCTTTATTTGTTATTGAGAGAGATATGTTAGTCTCCCACTATGAGTTTAAAATTAGTATATATTCCTGATAGAAATTACCCTTTTATTATTAGGCAAGATTTCTCTTTATTGCTAGTAATGTCTTGAGCTATAAAACACATTTTGTCTGATGTCTGTACAACTACATCAGCTTTCTCTTATTCATTCTTTTCATGCTATATATTTCTCCATCTTTTTACTTTCAATCTTTGTGTCCTTATATTTAAGATATATTTCTCATATAAGCAGCATATAAATGGTTTTATTTTTTTATAACCACTCTGACAACCTTATTTTTTGTTAATCAACCTATGTACATTAAAATATAACTACTAACATATTTGGGTTTATATTACCATCTTATTACTTTGCATTATTTTGGATCAAATATTTTTTTATTATTCCATTTTTCTCTTCTATTGGCTTGTTGGTTATAGGTCTTTTACTATTCATTTGGTGTTTACCCTACAAGATGCCTACTTGGTTTCTCAGGATCTAATATAAATTAGTACTTTTATCAATTCCCAGCTAATGCAAGACTACAGAACACTTCCTCTTAAACTCACCATCTGTTATATTTTTCTCATGCATTTTAATTCTAGATATATTAAAAACCCTACAGGACATCTGTAAGACCTTTTTTGTCATGCACTATAGTCTCTCATGCTTTTTCCTGTATTTTCCATTCTCTTTTCTGTGCTTCAATCTGGATATTTTCTATTGACCTATATTCCAGTACACTAATCTTCTCTTCAACGGTGTCTAATGTGACCTTCAACTAATCTAATGAGTTCTTGAGTTCAGTTATTATATTTTTTAGTTCTGGAATTACTATTTATTTTTTTATAGATTCCAGTTATTTCATGAAATTCTTCATCTTGTTTTCTATTTTCTTGAACATGTTAATCAGAGGTATTTTAAAGGCCATATGTGATAACTCTAATATCTAGGTTACCCATGGATCTGTTTTATTTTCTCTTGGTCCAGTTTCTAGGTATACCTATAATTTGTGACTGAATCATGGGCAATGTGTATGAAAAACTGAAGTGACCTGGGATTATAATACATCAGAAAAGATTCATCCTATCTTCTGGCAGCAGTTCAATCCACTGTGGAATTAAGGTCACTCAATACTGGACTACAGTTTTATAAAGGCTTGGTCTACCTACGGTTTGCCCCCATTTCAAGGTTATAGTCCTCTAGGGAGCCCAACTGAGAGCCTGGATGTTTCTTGAGGCCCCACCGTCCTTGACAGATCCTAAATTCCAAGTTTTGTCACCCCTAGCACCATAAAACTACCAAAACTCTATTCAGCTTTCCAACTGCTTTTTGTTTGACTCCTTAGTCAGTTCCCCTACACAGCTAAGAATAAGCAAGTACCTTGTGGGGAGAACCTCTGTAAGGTAAGGCTTACTTTTTAACTTTTCTTTCTGGGATCTTGACCCTTTAAGTTAAAGCTTCATTGATAACCCAGAATTTTAATTTTTGTCTTCCCATCTCAACAAATTTGCTAAAAGCTAAATGGTTTCTGATTCTTAGCAGCTACCCTCTGCACAGCTTCTCATACTCTAGCCTCACACCAAGAATCAGCAAATGCCCCAAGGGAAGCCTCAATGTGCTTCGCTCCCCCACAGGATCTTGTTTGCTTTGGCAGCTATCTAATGCCTTCAAACAAATATTTTTTTACTGTATTTTATCTAGCCTTTCCGGGAGCTCTCAGCAGGACCACTGGTCTGTTACAAGCAAAAATGGAAGGCTGCAGTTCCCTACTCATTTAAATTTATTCTTTATGGGCAACAGCCTGAAAACAGGTAATCCTTCCCGCCTCACAATCCTCCCAACACCAAGTCACTTTTTCTCTCTAAGAAATTTGGTATTATAACAATATCAAACCTAAATGGTGACTGTGAAAGATAAATTCTTTCATTGGCTATGTTTACATCGGTTGAGTATTCTAAAATTTTGAGTGACTATAGAGAAGGTAGAGGCTTTAAATTCAACTGTCATGGTTACCTATCGTGGTTTACATTAACTTATACTTATACTTATTTTGGAACTCTACTATAATCTCATACACAACCAAAACTATACTGCTATAATGAAAACTGTCTCTGCAATATATCTGATCTCAGGTAGAAAGATGAGTACATACCGTATTCTAGTATCTAACAATTCCTTAATCATTGCCACAACTTCATCATCTTCTTCAGATCCTAAAAACAATTACAAATAAAACATATCAACAGCAAAAATTTTATATCCATGCAAGTACAAGTTTTAAAACATGATGATTTTAACTTAATGTCTCATTAAAAAATAAAAGCATAGAACATGTAACTTGGTAGGGTGATATAAGTGATTTTCGGGAAATGGAAAGATCATTCAATTCTCTGAAGAAAAATTAAGCAACACTGATCAACTCAACATTTGATGATAAAGGCGAGTATACTGAAATAACTTGATCTACTAATGATGTTAGGGTTTGAATTCTTTGGCCAATAAATTTGTAAACTTTCATCAGTCTCAAGGATTGAAAAGTAGCAGAGAAAACATATTGTCTGGATTTTCATGGAAACTTTGAGACAAAAGGCACACCTATTTTGTAAGTTAAGCTACATTTTCAATTTCTCATTTTAGTGGTTTTCAAAAAGGACAATCATACTAAATAGAGATGTAAGCCTTATGGAAATTTCCAAAAAGTCCTACAAATCTGAGCAAAAAGTTGGTTTTTTCATTTTGTTTCATTTTTGTTTTTCCTTTATTCTGTAAGCTTATATACTGATGTTCACCAATGCCTTTTTTGGGGTTTTAAATTTTTTTTTTTGAAAAATTTATTTACCTTTGGGAAAACTATAAATGCAGATAATTCAAATTACATTATAACAAACACTCAAGTTCCGGCAACAATATAACAATTCTTAACATTAAATTATATTAACTTTGAGTCTTTTTTTAAATAAAAGAAATAAAATATAATAAAGCTAAAATTCTCTTACATCAGGAAACCTAAGTTCCATTCCCCACCATCAATTCCATAGGCAACAACTGTCATGAGTTTAGTGTATATCCTTCTAGTACATGTTTACATTTACACAGATGAGATCACACTATATACACTGTTCTATACCTTAGTTTTTCCTATTTGCTATATCTTAAAAGTCTTTCCATATCTGCATACACAGATATGCCTCAATTTTTAAAATAGATGCATACGAATGTTTGTATGGATTTGTCTTCATTTAGCTAGTTTCTTAATTATTTCAGTTTTTTCCAACTTGCTTTTTTTTTTTTTTTAATTTTATTTATTTATTTTTTCCCCCAAAGCCCCAGTAGATAGCTGCATGCCACAGATGCACATCCTTCCAGTTGCCGCACGTGGGACGCGGCCTCAGCACGGCCGGAGAAGCGGCGCGTCTGTGTGCGCCCAGGATCCGAACTCGGGCCGCCAGCATTGGAGCACGTGCACTTAACCGCTAAGCCATGGGGCCGGCCCTAACTTGCTGCTATTTCTAACAATCCTGCAGCATACACACTTGTGTAAAGTATGGATCAGTGTACTTTTCCAAATATATCTACAAGATAAATTCCTAGTGGTGGGATATCTGAGTCAACAAGCTTGTGTATTTTTTAATTTTGGTAGATGTAGTCAAATGGCTCTCAAAACATTATATAAATTGTACATATATATATATCCATCAAGAACACATATAACTGTTTCACTTATTATTTAAAATTTGCATACATGGTATATAAGTAAGAGTATGTAAATAACCGTACTCTTTAATTTTCTTATCACTTAATATTTTCTTTTGTATCTTTTCACTTTGATATCTCCCAACCTAGTTCATTCCTTTTAACTGCTGATATATTTTTAAAATATTTCAATGAACATGCTTCCACGTGTTGTCTTGTGTACATTTATAAGACTCATTTAGAGTATACACCTAGAAGTGGAACTGTATCATCTAAAGGTGATTACTGAAATGTATAAAGATATAAGAAAGTTGAAATTCTTATAACCGCTAAATTGTATGTAAATCAGAACAATTTTCAATACAGCATTTCTGCTTTTACAAATGTACTCTAAAGAAACGCTCCATATATGCACAAAGAGACTTGTACAAGGATGCCCACTGCAACAATGTTTTAATAGAAATTGGCACAAATAATTTGTTGAACATAAGTAAAGGAATAAATTAACTGTGGTTTATTCATATAATGGAATACTACTCAGCACTTAAAATAAATAGAGCAGAACTACATTTTTTCAAAATATTATGCTCAGTGAAAAAAAAGAAAAGCTGCATATAACACAAGTTATTTAAAGTTTAAGAAAAAAACCAATACTATATATTCCCTGTAGAGACTTATATGTGTAGTAAAAGTTTAAAAACAAACCAAGTTTACATACATCTCTGAAAAAGGAAAGAGGATGGAGGTTGTGGGGCTTTGGCTGTGTCTTTAACATTTTATTTAAATATGGGTCTAAAATAATTATGGCAAAAATTTAACATTTGTTAAATCTGAGAAGAGGGCAAATTGGTGACCATTATATTATTTTCTGTATGTTTGAAAATTTTTACAATTGAAAAATTTAGTTTTGTATAATAGATTCAATTTATACAGAAGTTTTCTAAAAATGATGGGTACAGCTAGTATATATGAAGTTTTGTTCCCTCTGGAATTGGTTCCAGAGCTAAATATAGTACAATGATAAAAGTCTGTATTCCTATGACTTCTGAAATCAAGACAAATGTGAAGAAAGTTGAAAAGTTTTAAAAAAAAGAAAAGATAAATATTAATCACCCAACACATTACCTGCTTCTCCTGAAGATGTTTCCTCAGTAACTAAGGGTAAGCCAGATGCAAAGAAATCCATGATTGTTGCATAAATATCTGGTTTCAGTAAATTCCAGTCTAACTCTTCACTTTCCTGTAAATATTTGAAGAAAAATGGTACATTTCCACCCAAAAGCATAGACAAACACAAAACAGTACTTTGTCTCTTTTAAGAATCTTTTCCTATACACTATGCAACAGCACCCATTTCTGTAGAATACATGTCCGTTCCAGTTCTTAAAGGATCTGGCTTAAAATGAATTTCAGAAGACACCATCTTAGAACACTTCTCATTCATTCATTCATTCATCAAACTTGTTTTAAGTGTGCTGTTATGTACCATGCTCTGTACAGGAGATACCAAAATGATTAAAAGATACTTTTTCATGAAGTGAAGAGAGTTAAAATACTGAATGGATTCTCTGTGTTTAAAGAGGATGATAGGGGCCGGCCCCGTGGTATAGCGGTTAAGTGCACGAGCTCCGCTGTTGGCGGCCCGGGTTCAGATCCCCGGCACGCACCAATGCACTGCTTGTCAGGCTATGCTGTGGCTGCATCCCATATAAAGTGGAGGAAGATGGGCACAGATGTTAGCCCAGGGCCAGTCTTCCTCAGCAAAAAGAGGAGGATTGGCATAGATGTTAGCTCAGGGCTGATCTTCCTCACAAAAACAAAATAAATAAATAAAGAGGATGATAAAGAGATTCCCCATTCTTTTAAATAAAATAGGGTATAATTACTTGATCATATATACAGGATATCCCACAACCATTCAAAAAATTCAACTTACATATATTACTTAAGAGTACTGAAGAAATCCAATGATGCAACTGTAGAACCAAAACATATGTGTCTTATCTATGGCTACTGCGCTAGGGCACTTGTGGACTATCCATGGGACCAGTATCCTTAAGAAAGAATCCATAACTATTTCACCTCTATATCTGGCCAACTAGTTGATTCCATAAACAAAGATAGGATTCTTAAATACCTAAATAGTATTAACATTTAAGAAATAGAAGGGCAGCATGTTTTGTTTTAGTTTTTTAAAGGACAGCTCTTTAGGAGGAAAAACTATTGGATGCAGTCTATTTAGACTCTCAGGAGACTGTTAACCAGGGTCTCTGCTTAAATACAATTAAAAATTGAGTCTACAAGCATAAAAGGGACTATTTTTGTCATGGATTAAGAACCAATTTAGAGACAGTACACAGAAGGTAAGATAAACGGGCACTGCTATGGATATAAGAGCAAAACTAGTGAGATGCCTTGTGATTGGGAATGGGAACTAGTCCTAGGTAACATTTTAATAAATTATTTGGAAGATGGATCAGAGGACTACCTCAGATCTTCAGTAAATAGTGGGCTCTACTGAGTAGGGAAATTTTGGTAATAAAAAAATATTCTGAAGTTGTCTGAACAAGAAAAAAAGGCAGCATATAAGCTGTAAACACACTTATACATTTAGCAAAAAAACATAAATGATGCATAAAGCCTCTGAATTATCAATTACAAATCAGAAAGGGAAACAGGTGATCCTGAAGATATCAGGTAAACGGAATAGTCCATTAAAAGGAAGGTAATTGAAAGAAAAATCAAATCTACTATTCTACCTATTAAATATCAATGTGTGCCCTAAGTTGGAATATTATTTATTGGTCATGTCATTTCATTAAGAAAAAATAGTGGAGCTGGAGAAATTTCAAAAAGGGTAACTAATTTATGAAGGGAAAGGGAAATAAAAGATGACTTACCAAAATCAAATCAAAAACAAAAAAACCCTATAAGATATAATCGAGTTTTCATCAAAAAAAATTTTTTATATAGTATAGTACAGGCTGTATGCAAAAAAAATTTTAAAAACTTGTTAAAATAAATACATAATGTCCCATTTGTAAAATGAAGACAAGAATTACTAGTTTTAAGAATTACATAATATATGTAAGGCACTAGTACCTTATCAGACATGTTGGAGATATCAAATAAATGCTGGTCCTTTTTTCTCCCTCAAAAAACATCAAAGAAATAAAACTGAAGAATAACAAAGATAGATTAGATGTCTATAAACTGGTAAAGACTGGTGATTCGTTAACACAGATTTGCACACCATAATCCTACATTTGGGGGAAACAACTGCAAGCCTAAAAATTCAATTTAGGACATTTTATATCATTGTTTCCTTCTACAAAAATTTCTGTGAGGGCATACTACGTGCTAGGCATTGTCAGGTGAACTTAAAAAGATGGACATTCCTTATCTTCATGGAGTTTACATTCTAATGCAGGAAAAATAAGTAATAAAAATAAACAGGGCCGGCTCCGTGGCTTAGCGGTTAAGTGCGCGCGCTCTGATGCTGGCGGCCCGGGTTCGGATCCCGGGAGCGCCCTGAGGCACCACTTCTCCGTCCAACG